GAGAGAGAGAGAGAGAAAGTATACTTGAAAAACCTAGAGTTATGTCCCCTACCAGGACTGAAGGTTGATTTACAATGGCTTCTCTTGGATCTAGGAGAACTTGTTCTTAGGATGAGGAATTGTGAGTGGAGCTAGATTAAGGGGTTTCATCCTAATGTTTTCTCTAATTTTCTAAAAGTTTTTCTTAATTTTTTAAGGGTTTTTGGAATTTTTTCTTATTTTTCTAGGGTTGTTTCATGAATTTCCTACTTTTTAAAGGCTTTTTACTATTTATCCTAATTTTTCTAGAGGGTTTCCCTATTTATCAGGAATTTTCTAGGAATTTACCCAACTAATTTTCTAAGGATTTCAGATCTGTTTTTTTTTTTTGTAGTTTCAGGTAGTTTAGAGGGGGTATTTATAGGTTTTCATTAGAGTTAGAGTTGAAATAATTTGATATAATTTCCTAATTCTATTTAGATTAGGATTGGTTAATTTTCAGATTTTCTGGATTTAAACCGACTAAAAATAACTAAATTTTTGAATGGATAAGGGTTTAGGGCCATTGGGCCTCCTGAGGTGCAGCCTGTTGTGTGGCTCAGAGTGACACGGGATACCTTGGGTGGCCCAACGTGTTGTGTGGCTCACGGCCCAGCCTAGGGGCATTTTGATAATTATCTTTATAAGCTTCTAAGGCTTGTATATTTTGATTCTCCAATTTAAGTGATTTTTGGACACTTGAAAAGCTCTAGGGGTCTACTACAACTTGGGTAGGTTTCAAAAGGTTTTGGGACAATTAAATTGGGTATGTGTATTAGGATTAAGTAGGGTTCGTGTTGTCCTTAGGATTCAGAATTTGCGTTTTTAAGAATTCTTTTAGTTAGAATTTTGAGGGGAGTTTTCTACCAGAGTCACCATCCGGATTTATTGAAAATGAAGTATTGATGGTGGCATATAATTCTATATTTTATCAAAATTGGAGACTTGATAGTGGAGCCATCTATCACATGTGCCCACATAGATCATGGTTTGACTCATATGAGTCATATGAGAGAGGATCGTTATCCTTGGATAATAACTCAATTAGAAAAGTAGTTGGAATGAGTTTGGTTCGCCTAAGAATGTTTGATGGGATTATTTGGGCAATTCAAAATGTTAAATATGTGTTGGAGCTAAAAAAAAAACTTGATTTGTGTTGGAGCTAAAAAAAAAGCTCGATTTCTCTTTCTTCTTTTGATTCTGATGGTTACAAGTTCACCGGTCAAGGTGAAGTAATCAAAATATCAAAATGGGCTTTAATTATGATAAAAGGAATCCTAATTGAGAACTTGTACTAGTTATTGGGAATCACTATAATAAATGATGAGGTAAATTCGGTGGGTAGAAGATAAGGACGTTTCATTTCGTTTGTGGCATAGAATATTGGGATATGAGTGATAAAGATGTGGAGGTTTTGATGAAGATGAATCTCATTCCTAACACTAAAAATTGATGAATTCGAATTTTATATGCATTATGTCAATAAGAAACAATATAGACATCCTTCCAAGGCTGAGAAACATACAAGTAAGATGAACACTTGATTATATTCACTCAAATGTATGGAGCCTTTCATCGACTACATCTCAAGGAGTTACATTGTATTTTGTTTCATTTATTGATAACTTCCCAAAAAAGGTATGAATTAAAACTCAAATTCAAAAGTGATGTGTTTTATGCATTCAAGATTTTAAAGCCGAAGTTGAAAAAACTACGTGACATCACATCAAAGTTCTCTAGATGGATAATAGTGGAGAGTTTGTATCAAAGTAGTTCTAAAAAATTTTCAAACCCAAAAGAATTACTAGGCATTCTCTTCAATAAAAATTACAAGCTCAAATTCACTAGCATGCCTGTCAGATTCTCAAAAAAGGAATCATTTCAATAGATATTTTCTCAATCTCACAAGTAAAGCCCTGCTTAAAGATATCTATTGATGGCTCTTTACTGCCCCACACATCATCTAACTGAACCCCAGGAATCTTCCATTGGACTTCTTAGATGAGTTTTCTTTTCCCTTGCAAGCATGCATTCTGATGAAGGACAATGGAGATGACACCAACTTCCCGAGAGAGAGAGAGGCTCTTGTTCTACTGGAATGTCCTGTTGAGTCGAGCTAAACCTCAAACTACTTAACAGACAATTATCAAACCGCATCTAATTCTCTAGCACTTCACCAATTTATCAAAGTATGCTTAAGGTATCCATTATCCTAACTCGTAGTTGTTCAGCCTTTATTTAAATTGAATCAAAAGAAATGAGTAGGAGTGATAATAGGCTGGACGGCCCTGCATGGCCTGGTAAGCCTGACTATAATAAACTAGACCGTGAACCACAAAATACAGTCCATGGCTGGGCAAGACCTAGGCCCAATGGCCGAGCCTGGAACCCATTGGCCTAGTCATGCCCAGCTGGGCTTGGGCCACTAAGCCGGTCTGGATCACCCGGCCCAACCCTTTTAGGGTCAAGGCCGGGTCTAAGCCTCTTCCACCCAATTGGGGCCAGCCTGAGCTTAAGTCGGTGCTATAGGTACAGGGGATGAGCTAGGGCTAGGACTCGGCCCACCCCGTTTTTCGCCCTAGAAATGAGTATGATTTTAAAAATTAAATCAAAAGAAATTAAGATGTACACATACTCCAAATTTCAAGTAATTTGGGTTTATAGAAAAAAAAATGAAAATAGAAACATTATCGAACAACTGTGATCGTGCGATGAAATTCGGATGGTGGTAAAAATAGGCGAAATTACTGTTCATTTTCGTCTGTAGGCATTGAAATATATATATATATATATATATATATATATATATATATAGGT